TCCCCATCCTCTGGGAAGTGGAGCTCTAGATGTGGCCACCCCACCCCTCACATGTGGCTGCGCCCTCTAGCTTGTAGCCATGGGAGAGCCATGATCACCAGAGAGCAGCATAGGGCCAGATGCCGCTGATCCACCCCTAGTGCTGTACAGTGGCCCTGGGAAGCAGGGCTGTGGTTCTCCTGGAAGCTTCCTTACAGTGGCCTTGCCATCTGTGGGTGTGGCACTGGCTGAAATCCTTCCATCACTCCGTTGCTATGTGATATTGCTCAAAGCCTCACCTAGTTCTGTTTTTGAGAGCTACCCTCTTTAGCCACTGTCCCTGAGAAATGTCCTAGGTTCCACCGGGTCTTCCACTTAGCAGCCTAGTTCAGCTCATTCTTGTTTAAACGGGCTTTTGCTGTACCAATTGAGCCAAGCAGATAAGCAAATTTATGGATCCAGTGGGCCAGTCTAGAGGGAGGTGAACAGATTGGGACATTTGTTCTATGGCATCAGCAAAGAAAAGCTTGCTGCCTGGAAAGGTACTGAGTCCACACTGACAGTTGAAGAAAAGTCTTGATAAAAATATCACATCATTTTTCACATCGTCTCGGGAGGAAACAAGTAACGGATGGCACACCTGAACCTTCTGTTCAGACAGGAAGAGTGTGCTCATCGGTACAGTTCAGTGTGGGTAGAGATGGGATTGGTGGCAAGTGGCCCTTCGCCTGTCATGGCACACCCTGCTGGGTCCCCTTGGAGATCCATAAGGAGACCCTTGGCGTGGCCCTGTACTTGCCCATCAGGGGACTCAAGATCGCAAATGGTCAATACAGACTTTGTACACCAATTCCAGCAAGGTGTGAGTGATGCCCTGCTCTGAGGCTGTAGCAGGGATCAGCAGGGAGCAAGAGGGCGCGCATACGCAGACCACAGCGTTTAGGGTAGAGGTGCAGCATGGTGAAATATGGTAGTTTGGTTTCAAGAAATAAACATAGTATATGTGGGGCGGGGCAGGAATCCCTTAGATATTATTATTATTATTAATTTTTGAGACAGAGTCTCACCAAGTCACTCTGCCTGGCTTGTATGTAGACCAGGCTAGCCTTGAAGTCACAGAGTCTGCCTCTCTGCCTCTCCCAGAGCTAGGATTAAAGGTATGTGCCACCACACCCAGCTAGGAATGTCTTAAAAAGAGAATTTGATGTGGGAAGGAAATCTCTGGTACTTTCTTTATTGCAGAGTTATTGGCAGTTGACAGCTATTGGGGGAGGGAAAATCACACCTTTGTGGACGTGGTCTGCTGTTAGTGTCCCTTGCTCCAGTGGACGGCCACACACATGTCTGGGTGGCACTAGCTGGACTTGGTGAATTACCAAAACAACAATCCAAAAGCCTGAAGTTGAGAGGAGGCTGGCTTAGGTGGTATATAGCGGGTTATGGAGTGAATATGATCATAGCACAGTGCTTACATGTATGAAATTCTCAAAGAATTAAAAAATATATAATTGGGCTGGAGAGATGGCTCAGCGGTTTAAGAGCACTGACTGCTCTTCCAGAGGTCCTGAGTTCAAATCCCAGCAACCACATGGTGGCTCACAGCCATCCGTAATGAGATTGGATGCCCTCTTCTGGTGTGTCTGAAGACAGCTACAGTGTACTCATAAATAAAATAAATAAATAAATCTTTAAAAAAAAAATATATAATTAAAAACATTTGAGACATAAGGGCATAAGAAAAAAAGTAAACCACTGGATCAACTGGAACACATTCTCACAGAAGATGTCAGGGCTACCTCGTGGGGAGCACAGGGACGATGTCAGGGCTACCTTGTGGGGAACATGGGGAAGATGTCAGGCTACCTTGTGGGGGAACATGGGGAAGATTTCAGGGCTACCTTGTGGGGTACATGGGGAAGATGTCAGGGCTACCTTGTGGGGGAACATGGGGAAGATGTCAGGGCTACCTTGTGGGAAGCACTGACAAGCCTCCGTTAGTAACAAGGAACTCCAGTGCCATTGCTTCCATCACTCAGAGCAGGTTAGGGGAACAATTTAACAAAATGGCCCTGAATAATCACTAGACAGTACTGACTCAAAATGACTTTAATTCCAGGATTAACTTGGTGGAACTAAAGGCTTAAACTACTCAGTCTTCAAGCATGCCACATAAGTCACCTTAAACCATCATCTTCATTGTCCTGGGCAGAATGCCCCCAGTCCTGCAGCAAGCTCTGAACTTAGTGGTGGTGGGGAATGTTTTAAAGTGCACGCAGGCTTCTCCATTACTGTGCTAGGCTATTATTTTAAGAGCAATTTTTACTTAGGGACATGATCTAGGAAAAAGAGAAAGATCCAGTGCTTGATTGCAATACAAAATGAAACTCATCTTAGTAGTCAGTCAAAAACAGCCGGCCAAAGAACGAGCCATCCATCTAACAGTAAGTGCTGAAGCTTCAAATTGGTCTGGCAAGGATTCTCAAAGCACCAAAGCATGGCGGCATCTAACAGCACTGAAGAATTGGCTCTTACGTTCCCTGATCTCTCCACTCGAGGTTCTTCGGATGACGATAATGTTTTAAGGAAACACAGTTTGTATTTCCTGTCTCCTACATGGCAGGTGGGGTAGAACTGTTCTTCCCTTTAAACCTTGTTTAGAACCATTTTTTTTTTTCTGAAACCTCATTAACTCTACTACAGAAGTGTGGACTTCACTCCCATCTGGACGATACAGTGAATGGACTCAAATACCACATCCCTGGCATATCATGGCATCCCGTAACGGTGAATCCAGTTAAGGCGGCCTTAGTGTGCCACACAGGCAGGGTGGGAACGCAGAATGCTGATGAAGGCTGAGGTACTGGGTGGGTTTTCTGGGAGGACACTGAATGGTGCAGGCAGAAGCTGCTCTTCAGAGCTCACTGTTGTCACTAACAGTGTGCACAGGACAGACAGCTGCTCCTGCTTTGTGTGGGACTGGAAGAGTCTTAATTCTAAGGAATGGGACCTGAGGCAGTCACAGAAGCATATCCTGCTGGTGTTGTACATGTCTCTTCTAGTCTCTCTGTGGGACTCAGTAGGAAGGAGATGGTGACCAGTTCTCTGTCCACTCTTGAAACTACCTCATGAGTCCTCAAAGAGATGTTTTGTCTTGCCGTCTGACCATTCAATCTTTTTTTGCTGTTCTTACAGTCCCATGATTTTATTCTAAGACACTTTAGAAAGTTTGTAACTTTTGAAGCCTTTGAACTACTTGTTGATCACTTGGTCATATTCAGGAGCTTTTACAATCAAGTAAAAAAAAAAATCACAGTGTACTCGTTGGGTGTCAGGGCAGAGCCCACCTCCTCAGGCCATTGCTGCAGTATTCAGGAGACCAGGGAAAACACTGAGGAATGCTGGGAGTGCCAAAGGGCAGCTCCATCCCCAGCCTTCACTTAGGACCACAAAGTCCACAATAATTCACGGTTAGCAGTAAACAGTCATTGTGCTACATCATAAGCCACACCTTCTGGTCAACAGAAAATGATGACGGCATAAAGTAAACACAAGGATAACAATGCCATAACTTAAGCTCTTGTGTAGCCCTGCTACGGTTCATACAAAACGGAATAATTTAACAAAACAATACTGCTTTCTAAGTACATGTTCCTTCATCTTTCCAATGAGCGAAAATTATAGATTAAGTTTTAAAATCAATGTCTCAACATAAAGTGTAAACAAAGGAGGGGTCCAACGTAAGACTGGCTCTGAGTCCCTCCTGCACGTCATTTTGGCTGATGCAGTCAGTGAGTGACACCCGGCCCAGGGGCACTGTTTCCATTGGGGCTGGAATGTCTTAATACCTAACATCCTTACAGGATGCAACATCAGAATGCAGGGCAATGCTTGGCAGAAGCCTGCACTGGAGACAGGAATCAGGCCAATGTGTGTGTATATAAATTCTGGATGAAACATCTTTAAGCCAGGCATGGTGGTGCCCACCTGTGACCCAGCCCCCAGGGGACTATGAGACATTTCCTGCTTCAAGCCAAGGCTCCACAAAGCACCTCGGGGTACCTTTCATAGCCCAGGACCCTAGACACAGGAAGATTCACATGCTTTTGAGAAACTAAAGTAATTCTAATTCCTGTCTAGCATCAGCTGTTCCTTCTACAAATTTCCTAACCCAATTAAACAAAACCGCAGTGATTCAGAATGAAAACAAACAAATAAAACAAACCTACCATATTTTACAGATAGCATTTAACAAAAATGCGGTGAGGGGCGTCACCTTCTATGAGCTGCTAATTTAGCCTTTTATGCTACAGTGATTGATAGACAGCCACCAAAGCTTCCAAGCTAAAATGAGATCATGAACAAAATAAAGATGGTTTGGGATTGGACACTGGATACACACATCCTAGCTGCCTTCTGTGTGATTCCGGGAGGTAGACAACCTGGGTCAGAGAGGGGTTGCACTGTCTTGCTTATATATCAGAATAGAGGCATCTCCAGAAGGAATTTTTACAGGCTAGTTTCTCTAATGTCACAGATGCTTTCTCACTCACCCCTTTATCTCCTTCAGGACCCTTTCCCCTTCCTAAAAGAAGTGGCCAACAGGTGGAAAGAAAGGAAGCTACCTGGGAGAAATGGCACTGCTGGAAGAACACGCTGATCAGGGGCATGAAAATGGCGGCACTGAAGGGGAAGCATGTGCTGAGGGCAGGACCTGATGCTGCTGAAGCTCTTACTGCCGGGATCTGCTTAACGCTCAAGAAACAAAATGGCTTCCAGATGTGCACTTATAGCTCTGTGTGCTCTTTCCTCCTACAGGAAGCACATGCCTTCCACGGCAGTGGTGCTATGAGATCACTCAACCTCCAGGTCGTTTCCATCCTTCGAATGGACAAGCCAATTGACCTTAATGTGGCTGTGATCCTTTGGCTTGTGTTTTCAATGTTTAACATGTCCCCTTACAACTCTTCAACATGGATGAAAGATCCGGTCCCATGTTCAAGTGACAGTGACACCTGGACCCACAAATTCCAAATGTTGCTCCTAAGAGCAACATTTCCTTAATTTTTTTGTAAAGAAATTATTGTGTCTGTATCATATATAGTTCACTCTTTACAATACAAAGTGTTAAAATGTCCAACAAAAATAAATATCAATGTTACAGTAGCTGGAGAATTCAGTACAATAGATCCCTGCCATTCTTGATTGAAATGCTCAGTGAGACGTAGTTTCATTTGGGTATTTCCCAGAGAGTTGACAAGTCTCATGTTCCTGTCACTGTGGCTTGTTTCTGGGACTGGGCCACTCCTCCCAGACAGATGAAGGAGGGAGGAGTCTATTGCTGGAGAGGAGATTGCCAGTCTTAAGACCTGATGGAGAGCCCTTGTCACCAGGTGGCAGAGCTGTAGTTCTTGCTGGTCCTAACTGTGGCGTCGGAACACTCGCCCTCTGAAGAGTCACAGTCTGAGTCTCCAAACTGCACAGGATTCTGCAAAGTTCAGACAAGAGCTCTTAATTCTCTTCCACAACCGTCAGCGACAGCATGCGGAACATTTCCATGTGTCAGCTCACTACAGCCCTCACTGAAGGCGAGTTTAACACTACTCATGCTATAGGAGCTGACAAAGATAAACGAGGCTGGGCCTGTTCTTGGGGTTGCATGGAGAACATAGCTATATAAAGTTGGTGATGCTGACAGTGGAGGTGCCCTGTAGCAGGTCCCCACATCCTCATTCCCAGAGCATTCCAGTGCCCCAGGTACCACTCACTGTTAATCTGATCAACTCACTTGCTGAAAGAGATCATTCTTCACAGATTTGATAGAAATCACACATCTTACAGGTAAGGAGATTGACCTTCAGAGAGGGTAAGCAACTTGCTCAAGGTCACACAGTAGGTAGAGTGATGGGGCTTGCATCTAGGCGGTCTGAGTCTAGTAGGCTTTACAGTGAAGAGCACCACACTTTCCTGACTCTCCAAAGGCTGTACTAGTCTACATAAGAGACAGTGTCTTCTGTTCTGCGGCAATGTCTTTCCGAGGAGAGCCTGGTGTGCACAGAAATATACTCAGTCCCTTAATGGGACTGGAAGATGGAGTGAGGAGGTAAGGATTCTTCAACATTCCATGTCTCTGCCTCATTTGTGAGACACTGCCTTTATTCAGGGAGCCCCGAGACTACACACCTTCATGTACTTTGTGGAGACAGTGTATACTTTATCTACTGAATAAAAATTATAAAACCCCTGAGGCATGAACATACTTGTGTTGGTTAGGTTCCCCCTCTCCCCTTGACACAAGCTAGAGTCATTTGTGAAGAGAAAACCTCAATTGAGAAAATGCTTTCAGCCGGGTGGTGGCGGCACACGCCTTTAATCCCAGCACTTGGAAGGCAGAGGCAGGCGGATTTCTGAGTTCGCGGCCAGCCTGGTCTACAGAGTGAGTTCCAGGACAGCCAGGGCTACACAGAGAAACCCTGTCTTGAAAAACAAAACAAAACAAAACAAAACAAAAAACAAAAAAACAAAAAAACAAACAAACAAAAAAAACACACAAAACAAAAAAACAAAAAAAAACAGAGAGAGAGAGAGAGAGAGAGAGAGAGAAAATGCTTTCATCAGACTGGCCTGTAGGCAAGTCTGTGGAGTGTTTTCTTGATTGATAGTGGTGACCACCCCTGGGCAGTTGGACTTGGGCTGTACCAAAAAAAAAAAAAAAAAAAAAGCAAGCTGAGCAAGCTATGGGAACAAGCAGCCTTTCTCTATGGCCCCTGCTTCATTCAGGCCCTGCCTCCAGGCTCCTGCTCTGCTTTAGGTCCTGCTTTGGCTTCTCTCAGTGATGGACTGTGAGCTGTAAGCTGAAATAAACCCTTTCTTCCCTAAGTTGCTTTTGGTCATAGTATGTATCATAGCAACAGAGAGCAAACTAGGAAAATACTCTAACCGCAGAACAACCAGACGGCACAGTGGAGTGAGGAATGAGAGGTGCCCACCTCGTAGCCGCGCTCCTCGGCACACAGCTTGCCCAGGGACATCTGTGTCTTCACGCGCCGAACAGCACACTCCTTGTCAGACAGCCCATCTGAGTGGGAGGAGATCTCGATGGGGGCCTCGGGTGTCTGGGACAGCAGGTCGTCCAGGGCCTCTGCCAGGTGGTCCTGCCGTCTGTCGGCTGATTCATCGGGACTGTTCGAGTGGTCACTAGTGTTGCCCTCCTCTCCATCAGACACAGAGAAGTTCTCGGAGCTAAATGTTGAGTATGACTGGTAACTGCTAATGCAGCGGTGAGGCCTGCAAACAGGGAAACCAGGCAAATGTAAGCAGAGCATGAGTCTCTTCCCGCCTTATCTGTTACCCAGAGTGACAGGAAACTGACCTCCAGACCCAGAGGAAGACTGAAGGTCAAGCTTGGTAGGAAACATATACAGAAGTAGAGAGGAGCTGTGGACTGAATTGTGCCCTCCCACACTCTGTTATTTACCCATCTTTCCCATGTGAGGACACAGGAAGAGGTGGCTATCTGCAAGGTAGGGAGCAAGCTGTGCCTAGTGGGATGGGAATCGCCACCCCTGTGAGTTCGGGCTTTCCGGCTTCCGTGACTGGAAGAAATAAATGTTCCATAAACACTCTTGAGTGTGATACTTGACTCCAGCAGCATGAACAGCCTATCTCAAGGAGGCCCATTGGAAACCATCAGTCACCGCAAACCAGTACCACTCCTCCCAAAGAAGACTTTGTGTTCTGCAGTGTGACAGTGGGTCTGTACTCTGCTCCTCACTGTGAAGTTCTCTGGACATGAATCTGATGACCCATGACATCCTGTGCAGAGGCAACTTTCAGACATGGTGATGGGAAGATATCAGCACTTGGTTTAGTTTCCATGTCTGGTGGCTGCAGAGGGCCTCTGGCTGAGCCAGGGGTAGCACATGCAGGGTATTCTCATTACACCGAACACAGCTCGTGCAGGCCTTACCTCTGTCGTCGGGGAAATTCTACTTCACTGTCCACTTCTCCTTCCTCTTCTGAGGAGTCATCTCCACTCTGAGGAGGACAAGGAGAGAAAGGCTTTGTTGGTTTTAGAATCTTCCCTCTTCCCTATCCCTCCTTGCCTCTCACAGGTTTAATCTTCATCCAGAGAAGGTTACTGATACCCTGCTTAAGGCCTCTTTAAACATGTCCATCCACATCTGGGTAGGGTAGCTCACAAATGGAATCCTACCATTCAAAAGGCTGAGGCAGGTGGATGCAGACAGCTCTCAGGTATAGTGAGTTCCTGGCCTACTAATTAGTCAAACACTGTCTCAAAACAAACAACAAAAACCATAAAGCAGCTCCCAGATAAAACAAACAACTCCCCAATATCAAAACAGAGCAGCCCAAACCAACACATCCACATCCACCCATTCAGCAGCAGTGTGCTCTGTGTCCATGACAATAGGCCCTTGGCCAGGTGCTAGAAGACACGACTTCCTCTTTGCCTTCAGGAGGTAGAGGTCCCAGAGAGGAAGCCAGTGAGGTCATGGATTTGGGACACTGTCCTGTAACTGTTGGACAAGTGTGGTTCTAGGGTCTTTCATAGAAATTCCACCTAGGTGCTTTTAGTTCTGCAAAGCCCAGCAAGTGCTTTCCTGTTTCTATAGCAACTGTTTCATCACTAATACTACAGCTACATCAAGACATACAGTGTTTAAACCCCAGACTGTACCTCGTTCATACTCAACTCCAGTACAGCAGTTTATTGAAGGTGCAATCACACAAATGCGTGTCATTACTTTCCAACTTAAAAAAAGGGAGGGAGAGGCGGGGGGAGTCTCCAGGCATTTTTACTGAGTCCACATGCTGGTGGAGACAAAGTGCTCTGGCTGAGACCACTGAGAGGATTGCAGGCTGTGGCTGACATGAAGAGCTGTCTAAGTGCTCGGCTGACAGCTGATCTTCCCCAAGGGGAAGATCTCATCTGACACCAACTGCAGAAAATCAACCACAGGTAAGATCAATGCTCTCACCCCAGCACTACAATACCCTGGATTACAGAGTCTCCTGGGAGCTTAGAGGGTCCCACCCCTGAGCCAGTGGGAATGATCCAAAGGTTGAGGGTAATTTACATTTTTAAAAGCCTGTTCTAAAATATCACAATCGTATTCATTGTATTTTTGACATGTTTGGTTTGTTGTTGTTTTGTTTTTAATAGGAAAGACAGGCATAGAGTTGTCCTCATTGTCAAGATGAACAGTTGTATTAGAACACCCACTGAAGTGCATCTTTGGAAAGAGAGGCTGAGTGTCTGTGGGGTGTGCAGTTCCAACAAAGCTGAATGTGCTGTGTGCTCGGGGCTGCAGAGCCACACACGGCATCACAACGGCAGCGAGGTCATTCAAAGGCACGTACGATGTGGAACGACTAAGAAAAGATGTGGGTTTCTTTTGAGGTTGATGAAGATGTTTTAAAATTGGTCGTTGCAATGGCTATAGAATAATGTAGATAAAAAGCGTTGAACTAGGTCAAGGCTGGCAAGACGGCTGGGGGCAAAGGCATCTGCCATCAAACAAACCAAGATGGGTATGGGGGGATATTGTAGTGACAATTTGGAATTTTGGCTTCTTTAAAAACCTCAAAGATATTGTAAGAACGTGCTTTTGTTTTTAATCTTAGGTATAGGGAGGGATGTGGGGCTGCCTTGGACTGTCTGAAGCAGCTGACTATGATTTGCCTCGTGCTCTAGCAGAAGAAGCATGGTTTTGCCAGCTGCAGATAATTTCTGCAATTGTGTGACATCTGGAATTCTGAAAACTTTTCAGAGGGTATATAAATGCCAGAGCCCCGATAGGTAGGGTGGGTGATTGTTCATCATTCAGTGAGGGGGTTGGTTGTGGTTTGTTAGTAATTGTACTCAAAGAATAAACAAGAGGAAAGAAACTAGACTCAGGGATTTTTCTAATTTCTTTCTCCCTCTGGTTTTTGTCTCTTCCTAAATAGTGTTAAGAGGAGAAACCTGAAGAAGGCAGACAAAGGGTGGGAAAAAGAACCCACAAAATAGCAAAGACCAGCTACAGTGTATGTTATAATCCTAGCACATAGGAGGCTGAGACAGGGGAATTCTGAGTTTGAGACCAGCTTGAGCTATACAGCAAGACTCTGTCTTTCCAACTCCCAGTCCCTCATCCCCAGACTCAACCAAACCAGACCAAATCAACTAACCAACCAGCCATCCTGTAAAGTTTAAATGGAAGAACTCTTGTTACTGGTTCCAGGAGTTAGGGAGTTGCAGAATGAATTAGCTCACACCAAGTGCATCACCTGACGGCACACATGAACCTCTGCTCAGGCAGCAGCAGTGGCATGTGTGGACAGACACACAGATCTGAGACAGTATGTAGTCACAGCCTCCACTCCTTTCTCATGAAGTATCCAGTTGACCAAACACACTCAGCTTTCCTTTCCTTTTCTCAACAGTGACAATGAGCTAAAGCAATGTTCAGAATTGCACGTTTACATGTTCCAAATACTTCTCACAACAATCTTTGATAGAAACCGTAGCAAGACAATGTAACTTTTTAAGCAGGCTGAATTCCAGATACTATTCTGGACATGAATCCACATAGTCTTCAAATCAAGAAGCATAGCTGAGTCCACTATTGGCCTTCGTATAGACAGTGGCAGATTCACAGAGGTGCTAGGTGCAGAACCCTCACTTTGAACTGTCTGACTCCCAAGCTTAGAATCCCTAGCTCCACAGAGGACTGCCAGGCAGCCAGTAGAGGAGACAAATGGGTTACAACTTAGAACTAGCTGGGTCAAGATGGTTGTTAATGTTTTCTAAAGAATATTGTAAAAAGCATTAGTGCCAAGGGGGATTAGAAGCACAAGTTTTAGAGGGCTGGATAGTCAAATGGATGCAGGAAATGCTGGATGACAGTTTATTGTGTGACTTCTCCAAGATCATGTTTGCGATGGCACACCAGGAACCTCCATTTCCTGAACTTCCTTGTGACATCGCTCAGACTGGAGTTCTAGGACAACAGTGTCCAAACTTGTTGACTATGTCTTTAAAATATGGTTATCCCAGTCTCCCAGTTCAGTAATCCCCCAAATGAACTCCCTGGCCCACTACTGAAGTCCTGTGTAAGGAAAGTCTTTTCCCAATGCACATCTTTAAATGTCCTATTTCATAATGTGCGTCACATGACTGTCTCTGACATCCTTTGATGGCAGAGACAGTCTGCTCTTGTTAAACCTTACCTTCTGAAGGGGCCGTGTCTTTTGAGGTAGCATTGGGGGTGTGAATTGATGAGAAATACCAGACTGACAGCCATTGAATCCGTTTGCCTCCGTTCTCTCAGAGCCTTGGGCATTTCCTGAAAGAGGAGTGTGCGCTGGTGAACTGGACCGGTCTGGGCTCCTCCCCACTGGCTCAGTAGTGGGAAGCTCTAAAGACCCAGAATGTTCTGGCCTGCACTGGAAACAGGGATCATAGGGTTCAGCCTGACAGCAACCCCAGGGTCCAACTTGGTCTTGGTCAAGTTCAGAATTTCTCCAGCAATCTGCTGCCATGGCTGTGGAGATGAGGTCGGGGCTAGAGCCAGGCATCTGTCTTTGAGCATGGTTGCTGAGTGGACTCCGTAGGGCTGCTGCTGGGCCAAAGTACCTCAGGTTATTGGCGCAGGTTGCAATGTCCTGCCCATGCGCATTGAGTCTGGGATGGCGGCTCTGAGGCAGGGTAGGAGGGGGTTGCTGGTATTGCTGCTGGAGAGGATTATGTTGATGGACAGAAGCACACTGAGCCTGAGTGTGGTGTAGGTAGGTGGGGTGGGGTGAATTTTCCTGGGTGGGCTGAGTTTTCAAGATTGCTGCGAAGTCGCTGTGGCTGCCTCTACTGTTCCCTCGGCGGTGACGTGGTTTGCTTCGGTACCGGCTCCTGCTGCTTGCGGTGGACATTTTGGGACTTCCAGACAGAGGGGATGCAGTGGGAACCGCTTCTGTACTAGGGATGCCTTCGGATCGCAAGAGGTCTGGCCTGGCAAGGAGAAAAGATTTGTTTCAAACACATCAAAACATGTTTAATACTGGGGTTAAATATGCCAAGCTTTACAGTACTTTATAAGTTTGCAATGTTGGGGATCAAATCCAGTGTCTTGCATCCTATTGCTCAGCTACACCCTCAGCCCCAAAACCTTTGTTGTTATTGTATGTATGTTTGTTTGAGAGAGTGTCTTACTCCGTAGCTCAGGTTAGTCTCAAACTCGTGGCAATCATCCTGCTTCAGCCTCCCAGGTCCTGGAGCTATCAGAGCGAGCCACCTTCCTGGCTTCATTCATACACCCTTTCAGTCAGCCCTCACAGACACAGGGATTTATCCATTGGAGGCCACAGATGGACACAAGAGAGCTGTTTAATGTTGGATGTTCAAAACAACAAAAGACTGGAAACAATCTAGATGTTCCCTTACAGTGATTTCTTATTTTTAAGTTAAACTATTTAATTTAAATAAATTTATTATTGTGGAGAGTATATAGGTTGGTGTGTGTATGTGTGTATGTTCCACAGTACATGTATAAAGGCCAGAGAACAGCATTCGGGGAGTTGGCCCGCCCCTTCCATCATGGGATCTGGGGATTGAACTCAGGTCATCAACTTTGTGTTCTTTTACCAGTTAAGCTGTCTTACTGGTAGCTTTTATTTCTCTGGATTCTGAGTTGCTAACTTCTGCACTCATTCTTCAGAGTTCTGTCCCCCAAGGTCCTTAATGTCTTCCTTGTGATCTTGACTGTCAGCTTGGAACTGACATGGAAAGGTATAGGAGCATGCTTACATCAGACATCAGACTAATGATGCACCTGGGCATGCTGTCCATCACAAAGGAAAGGTATGGTACCACAGAACAAACCTCAGGCTCAACAGGCAAGGTCTAAACTGTTTAACGAGTTCGGCCTGGACATGGTCTCACGGACTATGCTTTATCCATCTTTGTATATGACTGGTCCTAGCAGGGGATCTTATTTACTGCAGGAACTCAATGGTCCTAAAGGCTGGCGGCAAAGGGGAGGGAAAGGGAACCCAGGAAGTTAGGCAGAGGCAGCAAAAGAGGGCTGCTGAGAAGAGACAGTAGACCTCTGTCTGCTTCTTCCTCCCTTCTGAGACTGGGTTCCCTGCCCCAGCTGGCCTTGAACTTTGCTGAGGATGACCTTGAGCTAATTATCCTGCTCTACCTCTTAATTGCTGCGATTGCAGGCATGTGTCACTGTGGCTGTTTATACCATGCTGGGAACCGAACCTGGGACTTTGTGACTGTCATAAGAGTATGCTACCAAATAGGCCATGTCTCCAACCTAACATTCTACTTTATCCTAATGGGAGGAAGCCTCACTCAATGTGTTCCAGTGCTACAGGACCAGCCATGAGGGTCACATTTGGGGGGGGGGGCGGGGGTTGTGGGGGGAGCCAGAGCATGGAAGTAGATCTGAGCCCACAGGTAAGCAAGCAGTTCCTGAGCAGTGCTCTGTGTCTAGGACCAGACAACACACAAAGCAAGAGGAACTTTTAGAGTTGGAAGGTCCACACATTCCATTTATAAACAGCAGAAATACTCTCTCAGCTGATTACGAGGCACCGGATGTGGTGGCCCTTGTTGGAAGCAGGCAGGCAGCAGCCCTTCTGCATGCTGCCCTAGTCCTTCCTAGCTCAGCCGAGGCATCCGAGACGCCACTATGCCAGCCCCAGAGCACGGGAGACAGTGTTGCTGGTCAGCCTGTGCTGTAGAGGGGACCTGGGTGAGAGTTTCACGGGCTTCTACTGAGACAAGGGAGCTCTCCAGAGCTGGGTAGCATGCGCTTGCATGGTAACGGGCTGTGGGGCATCCAAAGGAGAGCTGAGGAGAAAGTGGGGACACAGACCCACAAACCTCACAAGGGGGAGCCTGCAAAATTTCTCATGTACGTAAAGTGCCTGCCTCATGGCATCACAGTGATTACAACTTCAGAGTGCCATTGGGTATAACAGTGGAGTGGCTTGTCATCACCAAGCTGAGATGATTCTTTGACCTGGAGTCTTTGACTCTGGGACAGTTTTTCCCCACCTGAGACTTCTATGCACTTACTGAAGTCTTGGGAGACAGGCTGGGAGGACTGTACCATGAAACCATGGCAGCCAATCTTGGTTGTCAGTTTGACACATCGTCCCAAGAGGGACTCTTAAGTGAAGAATTACCTCCATTAGATATGCCTATGGGTATAACTGAGTTATTTTCTTCACTGTTAATGTGGAAGAGCCCAGCCTACTGTGGGCAAGGCATTCCTAGACAAGTGTAGCCTGGGCTGTGTAAGAAAGGCAGCTGAATGTGAGCCTGGGGACGAGCCAGTCAGTGCTATTCCTCCAGGGTCTCTGCTTGAGTTCCTGCCTCTAGGTTCCTTCTCAAGTTCCTTCTGAGGCTTTCCTGGGCTGTAAGACAACCCCGCCTCCTCAAGTTGGTTTTGGTCAATGTTTTATCATAGCAACAAAAAGTAAATGGAACCCAACACCCTTCTAGTTTTTGACTAAATGGTAAACTGGAATTTGGGCTTCAGATGGTGACTGATGGGAAACAGTTTGAGAAGACCTTTTCTTTTCTCTCCAACTTCTCTCCCAAGGTCTCCAAATCTCCAACTTGGAAATGACTTAACCATCTAAATAATCTAACACTTCCATCTCTGACAGAGACAATAGCCCTGGGTGTCCTGAAACTCACTCTGTAGACCAGGCTGGCCTTGAACTCAGAAATCCACCTGCCTCTGCCTCCCAAGTGCTGGGATTAAAGGTGTGCGCCACCACTGCCCGGCTCAACTCACAGTTTTAAGTTACATAGTCCCTTTTGCTTCCTGGGCACACTTGGTCTTAAAACTGTAGGCAGAGAAGAGTTGGTAGGTGGGCTGTCCCTAATTAGTACCACAAAAGACTAAAACGAGGGTTGTGCCAGCTATCTGTGAAAGCAGCTTCTCAGCCAGTGAGCAGAAGATGGTCAGGACGATAAGCAAACAGAAGCCTGGAATTAGTTCACCATGTGGTCATTAGATGTTAGGACGGGAGAGTTCTATCCTGGAACGTGCACTTTTATGGTTATTAGACATTAGGACCGGAGAGTTCTAAGCTAGAATGTGCACTTTTGCACAGCACTAAGGAAATAAAGCAACACTGACAAGTGGGGCCTCATGAAATTAAAGTGTCTCCACAATGCAGGAAACAAGGTAACTGAATGAAGCCTTCAGAACAGCTATAGATCTGACAGGGGTCAGTGTGGAGAAAAACAAAGAGCCCCCCCAAAAACAGGAAGAGATCAAATTAAAATAAATAGGGTAAGGAGCTGAATAGAATATCTTCAAAGGAAGACTGGACAATGAAGATTCTGAAGTGGTCAAAAGGAAGTGGCTCAGTCAGCAAAGTGCTTGCCACATAAACTTGAGGAAATGAGTTTGATCCCCACCACCCTTGTTTAAAAAAAGGAACCTCAGCTTGGAGTGGAGTTGAGTGGGGCTAGGGGAAGGAAGAGGCTGAGACAGGTAGATTCAGCCTAGCCTATTTAGTGAGCTCTAGGCCAGTGTGAGACCCTGTTTCAAAACAAACATCAAGCAAACAAACAACAAAAAACCCCCAAAAACCAATGTAGATGTCATGAGGAACACGTCAAGAATGACCTCTCCTCTCTATATGTACATATATATGCAGCTGAACACCTGTGCACATCTGTACACACACACACACACACACACACACACACACCAAAACTACTCTGAAGTTCCTTCTCACTTCAGTCAGTGATTCTCATCAAGATAAACAAATGGCAGCCAGTGCTGCTGGCAAGGCTGTGAGGAGGCACTTATTTATCGTTGGCAGGAGTGTAAACTGGTGCTGCTGTGGTGGAGACCAAGGAGATCCTCAAAGAGCTACAGCTAGAGTCACCACATGACCAGTTTTGCCTCTCCTGTGGAAATACTTGACGGACCGCGTGCCCTACTACAGAGAATCATGTCCACACATGTTTACTGCAGCCTCGTGACCCATCAACAGAACACAGGGTGATGGAAATGCACTACATGTGCATAACAGAATTTTATTCAGCTGTAAAGAAAAATGAAATTATGGAAAATTCAGGAAAAGAGATGGATCTGAAAACTATTAAGGTAACCCAGGCTCAAAGACAAATATGTTCTATGTCATATGTGGATCCCGGCTTCAGATGTAGACACGTGTATTTACATGCCAGTGAGCATGTGTGGAGGTCAGGAAACTAGGAAGAGGCCCCAGAGAGTCAGGGGAAGGGCTTTCGGGGAGAGGAGTGTGTGTGTGTGGGGGGGGGGGGGGGGGGGGGAGGTGGACAGAATACATCTCTATGAGCCAGGAGGGGAGATAGGGTTTAAGCAGGGGTTGGGAGCAGGAATATGGGAGGTGGGGAAGAGAAAAGACAGTGGTAGGGTCAACGAGAGCTAAGCATGCATGAAAATGCCATAAACCCCCCTGCTACTTTCTTATTTGTACTTAAAAGTTAAAAACACATTCTTGGCCCATGTTTTCTCCTTTTTGTTTTCTTACTGTATTTGGTTCAAGTCTTACAAGCTCAGGCTTGGGACGTTCTTTCCTTCCATTAACCTGTCTGGGGTGGAGCTAGTTCTTTGGCATGTGAGAATCATAAGGCTCAATGGCATTTGGTAATTCCCAAAAGACTGAAAGGTATTTTAAGATGTTTTCAAAGGTGCTAGGCATCAAACTTGGGCCTCAAGCATGCTATGCCTACACTCTACAGAGATGTATCTCCACTCTCTACTACTGAGATTAAACCAATATAAAGCAAGTGTTAGAAAAGAGAAAAGAAACCAGGCAGTAGTGGTGCATGCCTTTAATACCAGCATTTGAAGCAGAGGCAGGTGGATCTCTGTGAGTTTGAGGCCAGCCTGGTCTACAGAATGAGTTCCAGGACAGCCAGGGCTATACAGAGAAATGCTAGCTCAAAAAACCAACCAACCAACCAACCAACCAACCAACCAACCAACCAACCAAACAACCAAGCAGCAAGTAAATGGGGGAAAGAGTGATCTCTTAAAGGTTAAACCCTGATTTTGAACACCAGTGCCCGAAAGGTTGATTTCATGATATTCAAACTTCACAGCTGGGTGCAATCAAATACATATGTTACTACCCTAGCTACTTAAAAGGTGGAGGCAGGAGGACATTGAGTTTGAGGCCAGTCTGGACAACTGCAGAAGAAGATGGAGGAGGAGGAAGAGGAGGGGGAAAAAGAAGAGGAAGATGAGGAGGAGGAAGAAGAGAAAGAAGAGGAAGAGAAGGAGGAGGTAGAAGAGGAGGAGGGGAAAGAGAAGGATGAGGATGAGGAGGAAGAAGAGGAGGAGAAGGAGGAGGAATAGGAAGAGGAGAAAGAGAAGGAGGAGGGGAGAAGAAGGAGGAGGAGGAGGAGAAAGAAGAAGAAGAAGAAGAAGAAGAAGAAGAACAACAACAACAACAACAAAACAACAACAATAGCAGCAGCAGCAAAGTAAGCATACTGATAAAAATGCACAGATCACTGTGTCAAAATCAAGAACTGGATGACTCAGGTCTGTTTCTGAGGGTTACAAGAATGGAAAGAAATCCCATGTGCCACATGATACCATTTACCCATGAGGATACTGGTGTTGAAAGAGACAGAGCGACATGGGCTGGATGCCAACACAGGTCTGCCTGTCCTTGCCGTAAGCTTCTCTTCCCTGTACGTGGTGCTAAGACAAAGTGCCTCGAGAGTAAAAGTGAGACTTCTGGGGTCTGTTCCATGCTCTCCCTTATCTTCCTGTGTGGTTTCATCTACAGCCCAGTATGCAGCTGGTGAGCTCAAAATGCCCCCCACCCCTACTCTGAGACCACCTTTCCTGGGTGTCATATCAGATGCATGGTCGCAGTGGGCTCACCGCTTAGTCTGCACCCCAGCCTTGTGAGGCACACCCTTCCTTTTCATGAGCTTCTCCATGGCATTTGGGTGGATGATTGGTCGGACAGGATGTCGTTTGTAGGTGCCAGGATACTTCTTTTCCACTGCTTGCTCTCGCCTGTGAGACAAAGGAAAAAAGACACTCTTTGATTTTTGTAGACAGAAAGGTAGGACAGAGATTGATCAAAGATGGCAACTGTGGAACTAGACAACACCCTCCTAATCATCTTATCCTAATCAGAACATCTAAGATTACCCCCTTCTTCCAACAAATGACAGAAAATGCTGTCATCAATGTAGGGAAAGGGGGACACTTATTCACTGATGGGGGAGTGCACACTGGTGCAGTCACCATGGAAACCAGTGTAACATTTCCTCAAAAAGCCATAAATAGATTTATCATGTGACTCGGCTATGCTACTCTTGGTCATATACACGAAGCACTCCATATCCTGCTACAGAGATGCCCACTCGTCCATGCACAGTCCTGCGTCAGTCACAACAGTCAGGAAACGGAAACAGCCGAGATACCCATGAATCAGTGAGTGGATAGTGAAAAGGTGATACACTTACAAACAAACTATTATTCATCTATTAAGAAAAAACCAAAATGGGGCTGGAGAGATGGCTGAGCACTTAAGAGCAATGACTATTCTAGAAATCTGGGTTTGATTCCCAATATCCACAGGCATTTGTAACTCCAGATCCAATGGATCTGATGCCCTCTTCTGTCCTCTGTGGGTACTGCATACACATGGTGCACAGACACAGATGCAGGCAAAATAACCACAATATACAAACAAGTTTTTAAAAATAAAATAAAATAAAAACCATTTACAATTGTCAGGAAACAATTTACAAGAACAAAAATTTACAATTTACATGAAAAAAACATTTACAAGAGGTCAGGAAAACACTGAGGAGTGCAGCCCAGTGCGGGGCTTTAAAGGGACAGGAGGTACAAAGCAGTGGTGTAAAAGCTTGAGGAGGAGCCGGGCGTTGGTGGCGCACGCCTTTAATCCCAGCACTTGGGAGGCAGAGGCAGGCGGATTTCTGAGTTCGAGGCCAGCCTGGTCTACAGAGTGAGTTCCAGGACAGCCAGGGCTACACAGAGAAACCCTGTCTCGAAAAACCAAAAAAAAAAAAAAGCTTGAGGAGGCTGAACGGAACAGGACGGGTTAAACTGGCATGGGAATGAGAAAGCCGGGTAGAGGAGGGGATATGGAAAGGATATGGAAACCCCAGAAACATCTCATCTCAAAACAATTAAATGGAAATCTACACATGCAAACATGTGCGCGCGCACGCGCGCGCGCACGCACACACACACACACACACACACACACAGAGAGACAGAGAGACAGAGAGAGAATATAGTTACCCAATAAAGGTTCACCCGTGTCTTCATTGGCACTAGATGCCACTGGCTAACAAATACAAAGACTACTTTTGTAGTCTGGGGCTCCACTTAGCTTCCCTAGATCTAAAACGTTGTTGCCAATTCTCTTGGCTACCCTCCAGAACTTGACAATAAGACCCCATTGCTGAAAAGCTTGTATTTGAATTATATAGGAACATTAACATTACTGACCTGGAAGCCCCGTCTCTATTGGCTAGCTTTCAGAGTGCTGGATGGTTCTGTATATGCTACTGGTGGAGGAAAGTGGTTATCGATCTTACAACAATCACCATCCTGGCACGGCATGCTCACGGGTGCAGTAGTGGTGCAAACAGCATAGGAGTAATAACTGTGTTCTCATCTGACGTGAGATGAAGCCCACAGCTGGCATCATTTTCAGGCTGAGCATCTCTGGCTAAATTGGTCACAGGCCCTCAAGAAGAGCCTCCTAGTATTCTACTAAATGAACATAGTATCCAGTCGACTCCTCGTGACTTCTTTATACCTTTAGATTTATGCATCTCTCTACCCTCATCTGAGGAGCTTCTGCTTGAAGTAGGTAGTGATTAACACAGAGGCCTGCAGCTGGCCAAGGTGCAGAGCATAAGAGGCTGTTGTGGAGTGTTCAGCCCTACAGGGAACATAAACATGGTGCCCTCTCCTCCCAAAGGCTCAGCGATCACAGCAGAAAAATGGGCAGAAAGACTGCAGGAGCCAGAGGTGCTGAACAAACACAGAGAACAGTGTCCTCAGGAGACAGCAGGATAGTCACACACATGAATTTAAAGCGGATCTGACAGCATGCACCAGCCTTGTGCAAGCTCAACCTAAGCCCTAGCAAGGAGGAAGAGTCCGACATGAAGTCCCATCCCTAAGCCAAGGAGCTTCGGCTAGTCGAAGGGAGGGGGGCTGGCTTTCTTTAATACTGGCCATAGCGGGCATAAAGTTGGATGGGTAGGGAAGTCTGGGAGCAGATGGGTATGACTGAATATGGTCAAAACTCAGCTCATTCTAGGAAAATTCTCAAATAACTAATTTGAAAAATGCCTCAAGTAGAAAAGAGGTCCCATTCATATTAATATAGTGTATAAAATTGCAAATAAAATGTGTACAATAAATTGTCTTTTAAACAGAGAAGGGCGTGGTCAGTGACAGAGGGGGCGTGGTCAGCGACAGAGGGGTGTGGTCAGTGCAGAGTATCTTTATTTGCCTACAGGTTCTGGCCACACTTAACAGATACTAGCTCATTGTACAACCAGGATGCTACTCAAGTTTAGGCAAACACACTGAAGGTACTGAATTTAAATTAACTCAACTTTATTCTGTTCTTAGCTCAAACTCATGTATGATCTTCCTCTTCCCCAATGTGATAAAGGACAGAAGCTTTGCTTATTTGGGGCCAAGAACCCCTGGTCATTTTGGTACCATCAGGGATCCCTTAAACAGTTTCCAGCAGTACTTTATTCTTCAACAGTCAGAAAGTTCCTGTTCATCCACACTAAGTTCTTCTGAAAATTAAGGCCCTCTCTGAACCATGTGGGAGAGTGAAGTACACATGCTAGCCCAGTGAGTGTGCCCGTATCACACCTGCAGCAACTCCCGATTGTATGTCTCACCCAAGTCCTTAAGGGATGTTGACTAAGTAATGAAAATATCTACATGTCCACTGTAGCGGCCCCACACAAGAACAACACATCTCCCACACAAGAGCAACTCGTCCTGTTGACCGAAAGACAAAGCAGCAAAGACGGGGCCTGGGCTGAGTACGCACTTAAGGAGTTCCTTCTCCCGCATCTCCAGCTGCAGCATGATGGCGCTCAGTTCCATGTACAGATTGTTAGCCCGTTCGAGCTTTCTCTCATAGTGCTCTCGAATATCCAGAGCGTGCCTGTCAATGAAAACACAGCATCAGCATGACTGAGGAGAATAAGTGTCAGCTCTAATGACATGCGTGGTGGCTTGCTTCAAAGCACTAGGCCCAGAGAAATCTGAGCTGTGTAGTTTATCCCAAGGGACCCTCCAGCCATACAGAGAGCCAGGTGGGCCACAGATAAAATAAGAATACAGTCTATGTGCACTGTATAGTCTTCATTTGTGCTCAATCAATACAATATAGTATCCTTATATGTTAATGGAAAGAATTTAAAGCCAACACTAGGATCACATGCTTATCCCTGCAGAGCTTATCTGGTTGGTGTGGTCTCAGTGCTTCTTCTCAGATCCAAATGTAAACCTTCACCCAGAAGGTGACATGGTACTGGAGGAGGTGGCAGTACTAGGGGGAACCCTTTGTTTCTCCACCATGTGAGGACACATGTGGGTGCCATGATATGATAATGGTATGATAATTTTCACCGGATACTGAGTTTCCCGGTGCTTTGATGTTAAACTGCTCCACCTCCAGAACCATGAACAGTACATTTTTCTGTTTATAAATTGCTAAATCTACGGCACTTTTGTTACAGAGGCTAGTACAGTGGAGGCCAGGAACTAGAGCGTATAAACACATGGTCTCCAACTACACTGGGAAAGGTGGAATTGCTCAAAGAATCTCCGTTGTAAAGGAGCCTAAAGGAGGGAAACAGTTGAGAGGAGGGAAAGAGTTACACATGGAGTTAGCTAAGTGTGTGGGTGTGCACATGCCATGAGGAGGGAAAGTTATACATGAAGATAGCTAAGTGTGTGGGTGTGCAGATGCCATGAGGAGGTAGAGTTATACATGAAGATACTAAGTGTGTGGGTGTGCACATGCCATGAGGAGGTAGTTATACATGAAGATACTAAGTGTGTGGGTGTGCACATACCATGAGGAGGTAGAGTTATACATGAAGATACTAAGTGTGTGGGTGTGCACAT